TAGAAAAGAGGACCCTAAGAAAGACAGAGGGATCACACAATGACAGAGAAATGGATGAGATCTACATGAGCAGACTGCTCTTGGGGGTAGGGCGTAGTGAAGGGCAAGGGTTGGGGGAAAGAAAGCTTAGGGTGGAGGGAGATCCCAGCTGGATCAAGAACGGAGAGGGAGAACAAGGAATAAAAGACCATGATAAGTAAAGACTCCATGGAATAGGAAGAAGCAAAATGCTAGAGAGGTCCCCAGAAATCCACAAAGATACCTGCACAACAGACTCTGTCAATGGTTGAGACAAAGCCCGAACTGACCTACTCTGGTGATCAGATGGCCAAACACCCTAACTGTCATGGTAGAACTCTCATCCAATGACTGATGGAAGGGGATGCAGAGATCCACGGCCAGGCCCCAGGTGGAGCTCTGGGAGTTCAATAGGTGACACCGAGGAGGGATTGTATGAGTGAGAATTGTTGAGACCATGATTGCAAAAAGAACAGGGACAAATAGCCAAACTAGTGGAAATATATAAACTATGAACCAATAGCTGAGGAGCCAACTGGATCAGGCCCTCTCGATAAGTGAGATAGTTGATTAACTTGAACTGTTTGAGAGGCCCCCAGGCAGTGGGACTGGGACCTGTACTTAGTGTATGTGCTGGCTGTTTGGAACCTGGGGCCTATGCTGGGACACTTTGCTCAGCCTGGGTAAAGGGAGGAGGGGACTGGACCCACCTCGACTGAATGTACCAGGCTGAGCTAAATCCCCAGAAGAGTCCTTGCCCTGGATGAGATGGGAATGGGAGATGGGCTGAGGGGAATGGGAGAGGAGGGAAGACAGGGGAATCTGGGGCTGATATGTAAAATTAAATTAAATTATTAAAAAAAGAATTGCCTCTTATACTATTGACTTAAAAGACTGTTTCTTCACTATATCTATACAAGAAAAGAATAGGGAATAGTGTGCCTCCAAGGGATGAACTTATAATAACTCTCAGCCTGATAAGAGATATCAATAGAAGGTTCTCCCACCAAGAATGTTGAATAGTCCCACCCTGTGCCAACAATTTGTTCAAAAACTGTTGGAAATCATTCATGTACAGTTTCCACAATCTATAATGTGCCATTATATGGACTGCTCTGGGATGTTCTGTATGGCAAATGTGTTGCTCTGGTTGGTTAGTAAAACACTGATTGGCCAGTAGTCAGGCAGGAGGAAGTATAGGTGGGACAAGGAGAAGAATTCTGGGAAGTAGAAGGCTGAGTTAGAGACACTGCCAGTCGCCACCATGACAAGCCACATGTGAAGATGCCAGTAAGCCATGAGCCACGTGGCAAGGTATAGATTTATAGAAATGGGTTAATTTAAGATATAAGAACAATTAGCAAGAAGTCTGCTGTGGCCATACAGTTTCTAAGCAATATAAGTCTCTATGTTTACTTGGTTGGGTCTGAGCGGCTGTGGAACTGGCAGGTGAGAGAGATTTGTCCTGATTGTGGGCCAGGCAGGAAAACTCTAGCTACAATGGACAATAACTTTTCCTTTGAAGAAATGAAAATAAATTTACTGGTTGTATTTTCCCTTCAGTCAGTAAGTCTCATCATCCACAGCAAAAGAGCCAACTTGTTTGATATGAAATAACAACAAACAATCATTGCAATAAATTATCTGGATTGATAGATTAACAAACATTTGAAAGTATAAAGCTTTCCTCTGCCTTGCTCATTTTCATATATCATGTTATTCTACAACAACTGCCGATGGACTAAAATTAACTTCATATTAATTATTAACCTTAATTTAATGCTAATGTTTAAATTTAAATAAATGGATTAACTTCTGAAGTTTACCCTTGATAATGGATTGAGACAGTCAATAAAGCTAACCACCTCTTTGAGTTACACTAATTTTGCTTTAAAGAACACTATTTTACATAATAACATGAAATAAGGTTCAACAATAATTTTAAACTTAATCTTATTTCCTAGGTAGTTTCTTTTATATATGACAGCGAAGTGGAACCCACAACATTTCAAAAATGTAGGTGAGAAAATTAACTTTTCCTAGGAACAAATCCCTTGATAGGTTATCCAACCCTAAGTGGTCAGGCCATAAAAGTTATTATCAAATACAAATTATACATGCTGTAAATTTAATTGTAATACAGAAAATGTTTTTCCAGTATAATAATGTAAAACCATGAGAGAAAATTTCTCTGTGATTAATGTGCCTTCTGATCCATGCAGGTTATATATTGAGATTCTCATTTGTATTGTTGCTATGCTGTTTCAAGTGGACAGATAAAGTTAACTAGGACTTCTATTCCTTGTCAGCATGACACACAGACACATCACCTGAATGCCATGAACATTTATTTCTTGTTTCCCAAATTCTTATGTTAATATCATAATATAAAACACAGTGTAAGTTTTAAAAATCCCACAATCTTTAAAAATTATAATACTTCAAAAGTCCAAGATCTCTAAAAAACAAACAAAACAAAAGTCTATTAGTTGGATGTGGTAAATTAAAATTTAAAAAATTAGATATTTTCTTATTCCACAAGAGAAGAGCTGAAGCACAGAAATTTTCAGATGGGAAGAATACCAAAATCCATCTTATTAATTAAAATCCTACAGCCCAATGTCCAGCATCTGGTACTCATGTGAACTTCTGGGCTCCAAATGGGTGGGGCATTTCTCTCTCTCCAGCTATACCCTGTGCAACACATGCAGTGCAGCTTTTCTCAGGATTAGTCTGGTTCCACTCTGCATCTGTGTTTCACCTCAGTAGATGGACCATGGTCCTGCCATCTGCAGTATTCTGTGATATTCTTTTCACCTCCTCTTCCACAGGGTTCCCTAAGTCCTGAGGGAAGGAGCTTAAGTGTATATGTCCTGTTTAGAGTTGAGTGTTCACGATCTCTTCCTCTCTGCCTATAATTTACTGAGGGTCTCTGTATTTGTTCCCATCTGCTGCAGGAGGAGGCTGCTCTGATGAAGGCTAAGAAAGGCATTATCTATGAGTACAGCAGAATGTTGTTAGGAGTCATTTTATTGCTATGCCCCTTTTGCAGAACAGTAGTATTTGGTTTTCCCTGTGGACCCTGGCCTATCCGTTCTCAGGTCTTGTCCACCCATGCAGTTGTGGTTATGAGTTCCATCTCATGGAGTGGGCCTTAATCAAGTCAGATATTGGTTGGTTTCTCCCACAAGGTTTGTTCCACTACAGCACCAGCATATCTTGGATGCAGTCACTATTGTAGCTGGGTTGGTGTTTACTTTTCTCTTTGATAGTGAGCAGAGTACCTTCCAATGCCAGGAAATCTAGTCCATATATGGTGAGGGATCAAGGGAGACATCAGCTTGACTGATTCATGTTCAATCAGTTATGTTGGTGTCATCTTCAAGAATAGCACCATCCTGTCAGTTTATGGAGAGCAACCATAATACCTTGGGTTGTCTGGGGTCCCACTGGACCCATTTGGCCAAGAAATTGACTAAATGTAACCCATTGCCAGTACTGAAAGCTTCATTTGGTGACCAGATATATCAAATTCACCTCACTCTGGCCCTCTTCAGCAATACCCCTGCTCCTCCGACCACCACTACCATCTTTTTTCTGCACAGGAGACAGTATCCCATCAACACAGGGTCTTGGAATAAATCTCAGTATACTACAGAGGCAGTAAGACCTCCAACCACCCTGGATATCCAAAGTTGCTGGTCTACAACCAGAAACAGCTATTTCTCATTTGATGTTATTCTTCTGCAAAACTTTGAGAATAGGCAAATTTTTATCCCAAAAAACATGATATATCTCTAGTTCTTATAGTCTAGGGTCTCTTGAAAATATTATTGCATCACTTGGGGTTTACAGAGAATGGCTACAAACCAAATAAAAAAAATCAATCAGGGCTATTCATGTCTAAGTAATGACATCAAAGGGATGAAATGTCTACTCATCTAGTGCTCAAGAATGCTAGCTAGTTTAATATGTTCCCTTTCATGCAACCAGTAGGCTTAAAAAAAATCAGGTGGCTAAGACGTGGTTCAGAGGATGACAGCACAGGCTGCTCAAGAGGTCCTGAGTTCAATTCCCAGAACTGCAAGGTGACTTGTAGGCCTCTGCCGTGGTGTCTGTATGTTACTGTTGCTACTCTGTGGGTTTGGTCTTGGGTTTCCACACCAAAATGTGAGTTTTGCAACTCTGGGAAGGGTATCCTGACTACTTGGGAAGTCAGGCTACACCTTGAGCTGCTAAGACAGCTCTCACAGCTGGAGCCGTGATGAGACAGCTCAGCCCTGGAGGGCGAGGTATCCTGGATACCTCGAGGTGTGATGAGACAGCTCAGTATGGAAGGGAAGGTATTCTGACTGCTTGGGAGATTCAGGCCTGGAGCTGCTAGGACAGCTCAGCAGGGAAGGGTATCCTGACTGTACGTGTCTCCAGAAACTTCTCTATTTGGGTAGGGGGGATATGGTCCAACTGGTACAGCACCCGAGAATAGAAGGACAAAGCCAAGTGCACAGTCAAGACTAGCTGCATCTGTGAAACACTGTGTCCCACCAGTCTGGGAAGGCCATACCTCTGTTGTGCCATTATCGTTGATGCCATATTTATCTCTGGTTTTCTTGATCTTCTCAGATATGCTTTTAATCAATGTTTTCATTTCCTGAAAAGATTATAGAACATACATCAACTGTATGATTTTCAATGATTTGGACAGCATCATTCCACAACCTCCAACAACAATGGACACAGTGTGCCATATCTTAGCAACTGCTAAATACACAGCATCAAGGCAGAAAGGTGGACATTGGTTCTCTTATGCAGTGCTTGTAAGGAGCCTGCCACTCTGGAAAAACTGACCCTCTGCTTAAGATGTAGCTAGCTCTCGTTACACAACCTTTACCCATGAGTGATCTTCAACCTTATCTCAGCCACAGGGCTGTGGGAAGTAGGTCAGCATAGCTCTAGGGATTTTATGAGGCTTATGTAGGGGTGGTTGTCTGTGCTTTACCCTGAAGCACCACCCCTAGTGAGGCAGTAGGTAACTGCAAGGTACCTGCCCCTGCCAGGGTGTGGCCCAGATGGGGACCCCTTAAGACCTGGGAGGAGTAAATGCTTGCTCTCTCTTTGATACCTCATGGTCTTGGATGCTGATGCTGTGGATCAATGCTCTCAGAGCTCTCCTGAGAACCGATCTGGAGCATGCCCCACCTCTCCTGGATTTGCAAAATTATTTATACTCAATTATTCTTTTTGTCAGTTCAACCCTGAATAAATTCCTTTGACTTTCAAATAGACTCTGTGGAATTATCCTATTATCTGCCCTGCCTTTTCCCATTAGGCACACATTTCCACACTCGAGAGTATGCATGCCTGTGTTGGGAAGGCTTCTTTGGAAGCATTATCAATCACTGTGAACATCACTGTCTCTGTCCTATAGTTACAGGTTCTCAAAGTGCCTTGGCCTAGTCAACTCGTTCTTTTTTTGTTTTGTTTGAGACAGGGTTTCTCTATGTAATAGCTCTGGTTGTCCTGGAACTCACTTTATAAAGCAGGCTGGCCTCAAACTCACAGAGATCCACCTACCTCTACCACCCACTGCTGGGACTTAAGATATGTACAACCATGCCTAGCTCAACTCTTTCTTTATAATGAGAAGGTATGAGACATGGAGGGTAACGCTGCAGTTCAGACATCTTTCTAGATAGAAATGATTTCATTTAAGAAAGAGCTTTATTAAAGTAAGAATTAAAGTCTCAGAAAGGGCTGGAGAGATGGCTCAGCAGTTAAGAGCACTGGTTTTACTTCCAGAGGATCCAGGTTTAATTCTCAGCACCAAAGATTCAAAAACAAAATGTAAACCAAGGTAACCCACAAGGCACGCAATGTAGAAGGCCCTCAAGAAGAATGGGAACACAACACAATGGGTTTCTGATTCGTGATGGAAAGATGCTGCAATCTGAGACACATGCAGTCACTAGTGACAGATGTTCAGAATGGCTGCAGAAGGAATACAAGAGTGGATGTGGGCTGGTGTCAGGGCTCACACAGTCCAGCTCTCTAGGTTCTTCCTCCTAATAGGAAGACAAGACATTAATTCTTCATGCTGGCTAGTGAGATACTGTCCAGGACACAACAAAAACCACACTAAGACCAAGGTTTACAAAATGCAGTGGAAGGCACTTGACAGACCACCTTCTCACCACCACAGGGCAGAGCCTACCTGCAGGAAGCTGTCTTGGCAGGAGAGGAACTTGTTCTTCTTCATGATGGCCTCAGTGGTCAATGTGAGCTCCTTCTTACTGAGAGCAGGTTTGCTCTGACATGGAAACACTGCCTGAGTACAGAAAGGACATGGCATTACATATGCCTGGTGACAGGGAGGGAGAGTACTAGGCAGAGGAATTTACCAAACATAAAACTACTCAGTGAGCTCTTAGCAACCTGTGGTTCTCTTTGCTAACAAACTCTAGACTCCCCTTTTCATCTGAAAATGAAAAATGAGATAAGCTGATACTCTGCCTTTTGTTTGTTTGTCTGAGACAGTCTTGGGTAGCTCAGGCTAGCCTCAAGCTCACTATGGAGTGAAGCTGGCCTTTAACTCCTGATCCTCTTTCCCTCAAACCACAGGACTACAGGCATGCATAATCATCCCAGTCAGCAATCCCCACCTTATTTAAAGAGTTCCACTCTAATTCATGAGTATGGGTCTTTTACTTCCCAATTCGACTCCAGCCCAGATTTGTATTAAAAATGAACAATGCTGTAGCCGGGTCTCATGGCCCACTCTGTAATCTCAGCTACTTGAAAGCTTGCCT